ATGAAAATTACAATTTTAAATTAAAAATTAAAACGTGACCAAACAAATACCCATGATAATATACATATATTTACAATAGGTTTTAAACAATTCCATAATAGTCATCCAGAATTATTTTGGAAAAACAATACTTTTCAATTCATTAAAAACAGAAAAAATAGTTTTCATGATAATAATGGAATTCCAAATTAGAATTCATTAAATGAAAAAAAAAAAAAAAGAAAACTGAATGTGATAATAAGGGGCAAATAATAGAAACAAGTGATCTTCTCAACAGTTTGTAGCGCAAGTGATATTATTTAATGCCAAGCAGTCAAATAACATCGACATCGAATAATTGAAGGCATGGCAGAAAATTATTTTAACAACTATGTTCTTTCATGTCCTCGAAACTTGTGGGCTCGCAAAAGATGTTGATAAACGCTTTTAGACATAAATTTCATCTTTTGTTCCTTTCTGTCTCCCTTTAATTTCCTTTTTTTCTTGCCTTTTAATACAAATTATACCTCATACAGCCTAAAGATTCAATTACTTTCACTTTCCTTTTATCTAATTTCATACACTCCTACAAGGTGTCACGTTTAACACGAAGAAACTCACCTACAAATTTCCCTTGAATACTGAAACACAACATATTTATATCTCTCTTGCAAGAAAGCCTCCCTTCATCCAAACACTTTGCAAGCGATTCCACTGTTTCTCCCGCAAATTTTTGCAGCTAGTTCTTGTTTATATTCCAACGAAATCAACACGAAAACGAACGATCGGGTCCAGTCGTGCTCCTCGAAGTATCGTTTCTCTCTCTCTTGTTATTCTTTTCTTCGTTTTGTTGTCGTGCGTCTATGTTTTCTGTAATGATATCTTTTATTGTCTCTATATTACAAAAACAAAGAAGCAACACTGATATATTGTTCCACCGACGTAACCGATATAACTTTATTAGGAAACACGGTAATTCCGTCTACGTTGTCGCGGTTTTCTTTTTATGAAATCAAACCTGTAGAATTCGTATTTTCTACACGCGTATGTGTAAGCATAAGTAGTAACTAGAAAAATAGTTCGGTTTTCAAACGATTCGCAGGATCATCTGGCTAATTTCTC